GGTAGTAATGGGGTGAAAACGAAAATCATGTTTTTGAATTATTTCTCTTGACCTATTGAGTAAAAAAATGTAAAAAAATTCAGAGACATTTCGGGTACCGGGGCACATACTTTGGGAGATTTTCAGATTTTTTGATTGAAGAACCAGGTAGTGAAAAATAAAAAACAGCAAAAAATGCCGAAAAATGCCGATTACGTATTGAAGGAGGCCCGGAACTACTTTTATACTTTTACAGTAAACAGGTATTACTATTACTATTACTCTCAATTTTTTTCAGATTTTTCATTTTGGTGCGCCGCAGTGAAAAAAAATAAAAACCGAATTTTTCCTCATTTTCTGCGTATTAGAGTAACTTACACGTTGAATTTTTATGCGTCCTTCAATATATAAGTGTTTTGTAGACTGTTTAATGTTTCTACACTAAGCAGAATTACATAACAATTGAAAAAAATAAAATAAAGCCAACCGTTGAGCGCAATATATCCTAGAAAATCAACGATATTTTCAACGGCGTCGATGGCGCAGTTGTTAGAGTGTCCGACTGCTGAACCGCTGCAAGTTTTTTTACCATAGGTTCGAGTCTCTCTTCTGGACTTAGGATTTTTTTTCCTTCATTATTTTTTTTTCAAATTCTAACTATATAACAATGCTTTATATTTATTTATAAATGTTCTGAAAGCATTTTACAAATATTTTAACCTGAAATATGTATAAATATAGTTTTGGAGTGTTTTTTGCGTTTTTATTTTTTTTGTCAACCACGATTATTGTTTAACATCTCTTACACTGAAATTAATGTGAAATGTTAGTTTTCAAATCTCTTACCTTTGACTATTGTGAATGGATCGGCGCAGAAGATTGTATATTGGCTTACTATTACTTCTTCTCGCCCTTCGATCAAGCAGATCTTTCCTTCTTTTTCTCTTTCTTTGATAAATATGAATGTTTGCTACGGCTTCAGTATCTAACGTAGACATGTAAGGGCCATTCCACGCCAAATCTATTAACCCACTCTCTGTCAATGATACTTTTTTCTAATAAACCCATTTTTAAGTACCAGTTTGATCGTTTCATGCTTATTTTTGAATGAAGTATCATTGCTCGATGGAAACCACGGGAAGGTGGTGGGCTTCTTCCATCAGGAGAGGCGAAGGATGGGTTAGAAGTGATTACATGGATCGGATGAGAGTAAATGGCGGACATAAGTGTTGGAAATAAAAAAAAGCATGGCTCAATCTTGGTCGCTGTCGTCGCTAATTACGGGATTTACTTGTTCGATATTAAATAATTTACTCAGAATTTCTGCAGGACGTACAATTCGTGAAAGGTACCGAGCATGCGATAAATAATAAATTATTGCTGCGACATGTGAACAGCAACCGACAGTACGGTTACCATTCGCACATTCGCAACAATAGCGTTTAATCCCGGAGTAACCAATTGAATTTGGTACGTAGTTAATGTAACATCTATATGTTTTACTATTGATGTGACGCGATCTCACTTCACATTTAATAATATTTTTTGTCTGCTTAAGGCAACGAACAATTATATTATTATCTTCATCCATAACTTCCGCTAAGTAAGATATGGCTTGTGATAATTGGTATGTTCCCGTAAATAGAATTTTTTCCCCGTGGTTTCCATCGAGCAATGATACTTCATTCAAAAATAAGCATGAAACGATCAAACTGGTACTTAAAAATGGGTTTATTAGAAAAAAGTATCATTGACAGAGAGTGGGTTAATAGATTTGGCGTGGAATGGCCCTTACATGTCTACGTTAGATACTGAAGCCGTAGCAAACATTCATATTTATCAAAGAAAGAGAAAAAGAAGGAAAGATCTGCTTGATCGAAGGGCGAGAAGAAGTAATAGTAAGCCAATATACAATCTTCTGCGCCGATCCATTCACAATAGTCAAAGGTAAGAGATTTGAAAACTAACATTTCACATTAATTTCAGTGTAAGAGATGTTAAACAATAATCGTGGTTGACAAAAAAAATAAAAACGCAAAAAACACTCCAAAACTATATTTATACATATTTCAGGTTAAAATATTTGTAAAATGCTTTCAGAACATTTATAAATAAATATAAAGCATTGTTATATAGTTAGAATTTGAAAAAAAAATAATGAAGGAAAAAAAATCCTAAGTCCAGAAGAGAGACTCGAACCTATGGTAAAAAAACTTGCAGCGGTTCAGCAGTCGGACACTCTAACAACTGCGCCATCGACGCCGTTGAAAATATCGTTGATTTTCTAGGATATATTGCGCTCAACGGTTGGCTTTATTTTATTTGTTTTCAATTGTTATGTAATTCTGCTTAGTGTAGAAACATTAAACAGTCTACAAAACACTTATATATTGAAGGACGCATAAAAATTCAACGTGTAAGTTACTCTAATACGCAGAAAATGAGGAAAAATTCGGTTTTTATTTTTTTTCACTGCGGCGCACCAAAATGAAAAATCTGAAAAAAATTGAGAGTAATAGTAATAGTAATACCTGTTTACTGTAAAAGTATAAAAGTAGTTCCGGGCCTCCTTCAATACGTAATCGGCATTTTTCGGCATTTTTTGCTGTTTTTTATTTTTCACTACCTGGTTCTTCAATCAAAAAATCTGAAAATCTCCCAAAGTATGTGCCCCGGTACCCGAAATGTCTCTGAATTTTTTTACATTTTTTTACTCAATAGGTCAAGAGAAATAATTCAAAAACATGATTTTCGTTTTCACCCCATTACTACCCCCACGGTCGAGATTTCAAGTTAAAAATTTGCACACAGGGGTTATTTTTTTTTTGCTATCGAATGACCCGTGGCTCGTTCCATTCGGTTTGGGGGCACATTTGACCCCCTTATTCGGCTATACCCTTTCCTTATACCTTACATAGGTCGGAAAGTAAAAATGCTGGGACAGTCGAGGCTTGGAATCGTATGCCACTTATCACGAGGTCGTATTTCAGTTGTTTTGTCTTTTACAAGAGCAAGAAGGAAAGGCTCACACTAACGTTCTTTATCGATTTCCCGAAGTTGTGCGCAAGCGCCGAGCTCACGTACACGTGGCTCGTGCGGTAGTATATGCCTGCTATCCCCACCACTCCATTAGACGCTAAGGAAGTTCGTCGTCACTGTTGTCGATTTCGATGCACTCAATTATGCCAGATCTGGCCACACTGCCTGAAATACATGTGTCGTTCGTTGTAATCCTATAACCTTTGCTACAGGTTATGGGCCCAGAAACGTGCAAGAACGAAGTTAAGTAAAGTGAAAAGTAAATTTCGAGTGCGCACAGCTGGAAACAGCGAAATACGCGACGCGAAAGTGACGACACACGACAATCGCGACCGAGGGAACACGTGGCGCGTGCAGTAACCTTCCTGTTTCGGCGGAAAACGTTACGAAGCCGTACACGCGATAAGAATTGAACAGTGAGAATCGAACCACTCGGAAAAGAAAATTTCGATACGTGGAAGATACAAATTCAGGCGTTGCTAATAACCTATAACCTTTGCTACACTCCGCAAAATGAGAAAAACCCCATAAAAATGGTCTAATTTTCAAACAGCCATAACTCCCACAATAGTGAATATATTTCGATGGAACTTTTTTCTAAAGTAGAGCTCATGGGTACCTACAAAAAAGTATTAGACAACTTTTCTGTAGGGCGTCAAACAAAATTACTAAAAATGAAAAACGAATTTTTAAGAAAAATCAACAGAGGTGCCTTAATTTTTCAGGGAAAATGAAAGGTTTCTAATCGTTCTGGAAAAATGATTTTCGATTGCGGGGGTCAATTACAATAATTTTTGGTGAATAGACATACCCCCGAAATCCTGTGCATTTTTGAGAAAAAAATTCAGTACAGGCGAAACTTTATACGTTAATAACTTTTTAACTAAGCCTGAATCAACAAATTGGTATTCTTGATTTTCGTTTTATTTTGGCCTCTAGAATCTCCCATTAAAATTTTTCCCAGAGGTGGCCGAGCACCCTGTATAGTATGTTTGATTTTTTTTGTAACTTTTATTGCTTAATATATTTGTATACTCTATGATACTAATCACTGAATTATATTTTCAAAATCCATGTAAACTTATCAATGGAATCACTCGATCATGTACACTTTTCTTAGAAAGATCTCGAGTAAATCCTTGCTATTCACACTTCGCTCTTAGGAATATTATTTCTATTCCTATTCTTCCAACCCAACAATAAAATGTTGTTTATTTTTTTACGGCTTTATATTTAAAAAACCATTCATATACATACAATGAACATCGAAATCGTTTAGAAATGGAAATGATCGAGAAATGTCTTTTACAAATCCACAAACAGATTAAAGAATCAAAAATGATAAACATATACAGGAATTGGGAGCTTAAGATATTATCGGTGTTGCATCCATTATGCGTAGCTACGGCACTGCCGAGCCGAGGTAGGCTAGCGATGGCCGCGTGGCGGTAAAATGCCGTGCACGCGTTGCCGAAGAACATTTTCTCAACCTGTGACAATTGAGAACGGCTTCTACACTTTTGTTGGACAATTTCTTCTTCAGAAATGTCTGCAGAATCAGATCCTGTGTATAAATTTCGTGTCAGGTAAAGAACTTTTAGTAAATATGCAAAATTATTATGTATAAAGTACGTACATCGACACTTTTTCAAACTTTGGCGATCATTTACAACCAAAAAAGCAAAAGCACAAAATATTATAACTATCGATGTTAGCATATTCAGGAATCTCTCCTCTATTTTTTAAGATTAAGTGGAACTGTCTGATGTTTTTAATTTTCGCGTAATACCTCGGTTTTACCCAAAATTGAACGTTTTCACAAAAACTCGTGTTTTTCGAAAACTGAGGGTGATACAGCAATTCCGTTTCCAGATTCGTGTTTATGGTACGAAGCTCTATAAGAATTATCTAGTGGATATTGTAAAACAGAAAACAAAATTTAATTTGTAGAACAGTGTAATCGAAAAATAAATGATTATTACTTTCATGACTATGTCAAGTATAGCGGAATTAATAACCCAAGGAATTGAACTGAGCTGATTTAACGAGTCGAATATTGGATATAACTGTGTATAAATGGTGTCTTTTGAAGCTTGTTCCAAGAAACATTCTGGAAATTAAACATTTTTCTCACCTAATATTACAATCTTAAGTGTTATTTGGCTTCATATAAATTGTTCTATCTTTCAAAATCTACCATAAAAATTATTTTCCTCTATAAAATCCACCATCCAAACTATTAATACTACTACTAATACTACCCAAACTATTATTAAAAAATTTTCCAAACTGTACCTACCGTTTTCCTCGAACCTAGCTTAATTAAAAATATAAGCTCACTGTTTGGTCTGTAATTCGTGCAAAATCCGTTCTTGTCAAAAGAAATCCTCCGCAGTGAATCGAAGTCCAAGGGCGCGATGGGCAACGAGAAGGCAGAAAAATTGAATTGAATTGAATTGAATTGAATTGAACGTCAGGGTTTCAATTTGCGCCTCTTTGTACAATTTCGACACAAAAGGATGGGGTTTAATCTGTAATTAATGTTCTAAATTATAAAAAACATGTCTCACTCACGTACCATTAGTCGATCCAAAAGAATAATTTTTAAAATAACATTTCTTAATTTACAAACCTGTTCCATTAAATAGTTTCCTTTGTTTCTGAATAGCGTGTAAAAAGCAGGAATCGATCCTTTAACCCATATCGGGTTTAAGTATTATATCGTTCAAAATAATATTGTACAAAAATTTTCCAACATCCGTTATCACTTCTAATGACTTCCAATAATTTATACTGGCGGTGTTTATACATAGATGTTCCGTGTTTCTCTTCCACAAGTTCCAAGTGCTTCAACACGGTACGATTATTGAGATTTTTTAATTTTGGAAAGCATTCCGGATGTAAATACCATATTCTAGGTACTTTTGGTAGACACTTGCTATTTTGTCCAGTACTCCAGTCTGTTCTTTTACTTGTGTCAAGAACTATTTATCATTGTGAAAAATAGTAATTAAACAATACGTACAAATTATAGACGAAGAATTGTTTTTTTGTAAATTAATTTCAAATAGAACAGTTTCCAAACATATTTATAAATGTGAAACAATTGCGAAATCCAATTCAAACTTTTGGCTTCCAAATTTTTTTTTATATTACTTTACAATATTTAATGTACAATTGTAAATCGAATAAGAGTGAAATTTTTTTACACATCTCACTAGAATTGGTTTTCTATACATATAATATTTCTTCTTAAATTTATTAAAAAATATTTTTGAAATTGAATATTTTCAAACAAATGATTACTTTTACATAGAAAAATCTAAAAAATATAAAAATACATACCTCGTACTTCTTATGAATATATGCAGTTTCCCAAATTGATGTACAATAACTTTAGAGTTGCGTGCTATAACTCTCAGAACCCTGTGCAATATGCCTAATTTCTCTCGTGATAACATGTATACTTATACAGGGTGTCCCGTAAATAGTGTAAGAACCGGAAATGGGGGGTAGCTGAGACGATTCTGAACAACAATTTCCTTTGCAAAAATATCGGATGGAGCTTCGTTTTTGAATTATTAACGAAAAACACTGACCAATCACGGCACTCGCCTTCCGCGCACTCAGGGCCGTCCGACCTCGGAGAGCCACCGCGCCGGGTAGGTAGCAAGATGCGCGTTGAAGATACATCGAGGAACGAATACAAATAATTAAAAATACTACCACTACAACTGTTACCTAATTCGTTAATTACTACGTAATTAGTACGTAAATTACTAAATCGAATTTATTAATTATTTGTATTTGCTGTTTCCGAGAAAGAAGGAATAAAATCTCGGAATTTTTAGTAAATTAACCCTTCGCAACCGAGTGACACTTCTCGGCAGAGTGTTTTAAAATTAAAATAAAAATTATTATCAGAAAATTAAAAGAAATACGGTAAGAACCACATTTGTAACCGTTTGATATTAAAAACTATACTGAAAAAGCAGACTGGATTTCTGCGTACCGAAACATTCCTCGAATGCAAAGGGTTAATAGAGAAATAATTGAAATTCGACATACCCATTCACCTGCAAGTTGACCTACTGCGCTGACAATAGGGCCCGGCCAATGCACCGCTGGCGGTCACGGCAAGGTCAAAAACCCCAACGAAAATCAGCTGATGGGACGGCCCGATCGCTGTACCTGCTTCTCACCCCGAAAAAACTTCACAGCACGGTCACTAACACTTTTCACTTTCACATACCGATGCGTTCCGTTGCACCCTTCTTCGATTGTTCCTTCCTGGGTTGATAACGGTGCCTGGATGTTACTCCCTCCTGAATTGTTACTCCTTCCTGAATGGTTGTTGCTCCCTGAATTGTTGCTCCTTCCTGGATTGTTGCTTCTTCAAACTTTGCTACCTTCAGGATTGTTGTTCCTTTTCGCTGGGATAATGGACGCGATACGTGCGGGCGGCTTTCTTCGCGTTCCCCTTGGAGTCCGCGAAAACGAAGAACGAACGATAATACTCTGCGTTTACGCGTTCCATCGCGTGCGTCCGCTTCTGTTCAGAAACGCGTAGGTTCTGTGAAAAATTTTGACTGACAAATTGCATTTCCCTCCCTGTAAAAGTTCCAGGTAGGGCAACCTATTGTCGCGCGATTCGGAGTTACCTGCGATCGGCGAACGTGCAGACCATGTTTGCCGCAAATGTTTGCTGCTAAACCTACTACGGTCGACTCTTCTAATAGAATTTTTAAGATTCACCGTGAATTACAATCTGAATTAATATTCAGTCATTAATCAGATTTACTAATTATAAATTTTTTTCCAGTTTTACTTTTTTATTGCGCGATAGTGCGTGGAATCGAAATCCGCGGTTTATATTAAGTTGTGTTGTGTAGTGTTGTGTAGTGCAGTGTAGTGTGTGGTACGCGGTTTGTGTTGTGTAGTGCGCGGCGCGGAACGAGAAAAAATGCAACATAAACACACACAATGCCCATATTTGGGCAGAAGAAAACCCACACGCGGTTTACGCAATAAATACACAACGCCAGTTTTCCTGTGGTCTTGCCACAACGATTAACAGGACAATTGTACCTGGAATTTTTGGAAACGCAGTTGCCAAGCCTTCTGGAGGATGTACCACTACATGTACGCAGAAACATGTGGTACATGCACGACGGTGCACCGCCCCATTCCACACTGGCAGTACGCGGGCATTTAAACGCGTACTTTAAAAACAAGTGGATTGGACGAGGAGGACCTCAGCTGTGGCCTGCTCGTTCACCTGATTTCAACCCCCTTGATTTTTTCTACTGGGGCCACATAAAGGATTTAGTTTACTCAACACCAGTAAACACGCTCGACGAACTCAATTGCCGGATTACGTTTTCAGCTGGTATTATTGAGTCACGAGAAGGGGCTCATTTAGAAAATATTCGACGAAATTTCCAGAGAAGAATGCAGCTGTGCCTACAAGAGAATGGTGGCCACGTGGAACATCTTTTGTGAGGCAGTTCTCTCTGTGTATGTGGACACTCGCGGTCGGGACAATCGTGGTGCGCGTACACGTGGACATTCGCGGACGGAACAATCGCGGTGCGCGTGTATTATTTAATTGAATAGTGGTGCTCGTCGAAAAGTATTTACTTGTGGACACTCGCAGTCGGGACAATCGTGGTGCGCGTACACGTGGACATTCGCGGACGGGACAATCGCGATGCGTGTATGCTCGCGTGTGGGTGATTCTTATGCAGAAAAAATGTGTGTGTTAAAAGAGGCATTCACCCTCTCTCTGTGAACATCTTGTCGGGCGAGTATTGATATGCCCCTCTGGATGTTCATAAGACAGGTTGAATCCTATTCGACGATATGCGTTTACCTTCCTGGGAGTTGACGCAAAAACGAGAGGCTGTCGGATTTCATTCAACGTACCACGGTCGCCGTCCTGAGAGTTGACGCAAACACGAAAGGCGATCGATAAGTCGGTAAGCTCGGTTCCTGTAATACATCGTCTCCTGACCTCCTACGCTTACGCATATGCTCGATGGTTGCCATGATTCAGGCGGAACTTTAAATGTTAATAACTTTGTAACGAAGCCTCCATCAACTAATTAGTATACTTGATTTTCGTCTTATTTTGGCCTCTACTATCGCTCATTAAAATTTTTGCAAGAAGTGGCCGAACACCCTGTATATGTTTGAACAAATTCAAATTATTATCTCAATCGAAAAGAAGACTTTAGAAATTACAAATACGAAGAATCGATACTTATTCTATAAACGTTTGAAAGAATTTAGCGGTACCGTACATATCTAGAAACAGAAGGGTTTTTTCACAATGTTTGACGATGCTTTCAACTTGCACTTCAGTTTCCGCTTCATTTTGCATTTGCTCTTTCAAACAATCTTTCAACTCCCCCCATCGTAATGATCTCCGCCCTTCACTAGACTTTGATAATTATTCTTCATTCAATTTTTTTTTATTCAAAAGATTATGCGAATATTGCACATTCAACATTCTGCATCAGGTGGTAGTTTAAAGTTTGGCAAAATTTGTCTAATTAATTCCAGAATCATCTTTCTTAGGTCGTGCTTGAAATATGAATTGCTGAATATCTGATTCAATGATATATTATTATTAAACATTTCTCGTCTCAATTGATTCAACAGAGCTGTGTAAAAGAAAAATGAACTTGTTTATTTTCATTTTTAAACATAATATTATTTTCAACAATGAGAATTACCTATTTGTTTTCCCCCCATTTTTATTCTTCCCAATGCATCCAATATACGTAGAAACGTAAGTTTGTGGCGTTGGCTTGACGGAATCCATCTTTATCACTTTCTAGAAATCTCCATTACTTTAACCAAGTTCCCTTTGGAGGCATAAGCTTCCAAAACGACGTTATAGAGCTCGATACATTTCTCACAATATTGTAATCTGCCTTGCATGTGTTTTCTCTATAGCATCAACGTCTTGTTTGCTCTCTTCGACAGTCCACAGTTCAAATACACTTGCATGTACACAAATAGGGTCTGGATGGACATACTGTTCTGTCATATACTTATTCACAGTTTGGTGCGATCTCTTCTTTTCTTCTTCCGCTGGTTTGTTCCTGTGCAATAATTCAGTTGTGTAAAGGTTATCCATCCATCGAAATTTCAAACTATTCGTAACAATTGCAAAATTAGTGTATGTATAATTAATTAATGCAGATAGTTAATAATATTGACAAAGATTTGATAAACAAATAAATATTTCACCCAACTCTTTCTAACTTTCTAATGCTTTGCATCAACACTTTTTGTATTTAAAATACCACCATACATTCTTATCTTACTTACATTTCCAATTTAACCATAATTTCATGTACTATTCCGTCTGTGCTACTCTTCTTTCCCAACACCAGTATTCTTCTCCTTATTAAAATTCTTCAGTTTTCTGTTTGTGTGTTGTCAATGTTCCTCTTTCGTTTACCTGCAATTGTACACGTATTTATATGTAGAATCACAATCATACTTCAATCAAAAATTACATTTCCAAATCTCAAATAAATCTCTTTTCTATCCAAGGTTTTATAAAGCCAACACAGAAATGTAGTAATTGCTCAGAATAAAAAACATGTTTCTAACCTAGCTATCGCGAGATTAGACAGTCTCGTTAACGAAACGGAACAAATTTACAGTAGAGAAGAAAAGAAATTAAAGCCACCAAAGTCAAATCGAACTTAGATCGAATCGATTTTAATTATGCTTTTAATAAATACAAAGTACAACATTATTGATTTTCATACTAATTAAATAATTATTTTTTGCATAAAAGGAGCTAGAACACTTATCAAAACCATAATTATTAATGTATATTCATTATTTCGTTCTAAATTGGTTCCAGCTTTAGATCGCACTTTAACTTTAGATTAATATTTTTACTTTTTGCCAATTTAAATTTTAATATTTAGAAATAACGTTATTGATTAAAAATTCGATTTTTTTATTCTGAAATAACATTTTTAATAAAAGATTCGACGATTCTAAATTATATTATACATACAATAACATAGAATACGATATTAGCATTGTAAAACTGAAATAATAGAAATTAAAAAATATTAATCTTTTATTTTGCCAAATCCTCGAGGATCCGTTCAGTATGGAGAACAACAAATTGTTCTCTGCAAATCTATGAAAGTTACAAACTCAATTTGATCAAAATTAGATTAGTGTTCTGAAAAATTTCAAATTTTTTTTAACACTAGAAACAAGGACACAAATCTATTTTTCAAATCAAACATTTCAAGATCACAAGATAATTACGACACTTTTCCAAAGTACAACATGATTAGTAGTATAAGCAGAGATGCCAGAAAGCACCACCGGGTACACACGCACACATGCCAGATACGCGTACGTGAGCTCGTGGAGTTTCGGAAAGTCGACAAAGGCAAACTGACGCATGCCCTCTTTCTCGATTCTCCGAAGCTGCCCGAAGTAATTTCGGATCGCCTCGTGGGAGTCGAGAGAGAAAGGCTCACATTTGCCTTCTCGCTCTAAACAACTGAAATCCGACCTCCCGTCAACGGCATACGATTTGGATTCTCGAGCCGAGATTCTCGACTGCCCAGGCATTTTTACTTTCCGACCTATGTAGGCGCACATAAGCAAAGTACCCATAATGAAAAAAAAATTTTGTAAAATTTAGTTTACGGAAATACACGTTTTAAGACCTCCTGATCATATTTTAATTATTGAAAAAAAAGAAATTTTTTTTTATTCCCATGTATGAGCACACATATGTATATTATTAATACGATTGAATATAAATAGCTGAATGAATTTAAATGAAACTTTACATTTAAGTTTTATGTTCTCATTTCAAAGGCGTGTGGACGGATTCAAATACGTGAACACTAAACGTAATGATGTAATTATATTATTTAATATTTACTAACTATTTAACATAAAGAACATAAAAGAAAGACATAAAACGTAAACATAAAAGATCATAAACGTAAAACTGTGATTGCTCTCGACTAACGTTCGATACAGAGTGACGTTCCTGCAGTCAAAGTCGACCCTTCCTTATTCCTATCTTATAATAATGACCTAAACAAAACGCACGTTCGAGACGCAGTCTCTAAAACGTATTTCAGCTTAAACCTAAACACCTCACTCGATACCTACTCTAGCTTAGACTAAACACTCCTATCGACGCAAACGATAACGGTTCTCCTAGCCACACACATACACTCCTTACAGATTATACCTCTTGTTTCATAGTTGTTCCGATATACAGGGTGTTCGGCCACCTCTAGCAAAAATTTTAATGAGCGATAGTAGAGGCCAAAATAAAACGAAAATCAAGAATACTAATTTGTTGATGGAGGCTTCGTTGCAAAGTTATTAACATTTAAAGTTCCGCCTGTAGAATGACAATCCGCTAAACAGCTGGTTCGCGCGGACGGTTGCGGCAGGCGAGTGCTAGTGGTTCTCACGCAGCATGAAAAATTCTGCTTACCGACATTATCGACAGCCTTAGATTTTTGTCCACTTATGGGAATGCGAACACCTTACGTTGAATAAGATTCAACCTGTCTTATGAAAATCCAGAAGGGCATATCAAAACTCGTCCGACGAGATTTTCACAGAGAAAGGGTGAATGCCAGTTCCAATACACAATGTTGTGAACAAAAATCACCCACATGCGATTATACACGCCCCACGATTGTCCACAGTGTCCACAAGTATCCACAAATAATCCTTTCAGGCACTAACCACTATGCAATTAAATAAACACGTACCGCGATTATGTTATTCGTGAATGTCTACGTGTACGTGTATCACGATTCTTCCGAGTTACTTACGAATAAAACTGTTATTAATTTTTCAAATACACTTCAATTTAAAAATGTAAACAGGAATTTAATAAGTATTCGCTGATTGTTTATATCACTGTATTTCTTACATGCTACTTAATACATAACTGAAATGTGTCGCGTGAACTAGCTTGACTGATACTGTTTTACGACTGACTAGCTGGCCGAACACGTGCCGATGCTGCCCTTTGTCTCCGCTGTGTGTGAGAGAGATAAGCGAGGCGAGTGACGTAGAAATCGGGGCCTGTTCGGCATATGTTTCTCTGAACCTCGTCGATCGATGGCACAGTCAGCTGCTAGTATTGTTACATTCTTCGCCGTGAACGTAAATCGATGCGAAAATTTCATTTATCCTGCGATTCCTTTTTACATTTTTAAATTGAAGTGTATTTGAAAAATTAATAACAGTTTTATTCGTAAGTAACTCGGAAGAATCGTGATACACGTACACGTAGACATTCACGAATAACATAATCGCGGTACGTGTTTATTTAATTGCATAGTGGTTAGTGCCTGAAAGGATTATTTGTGGATACTTGTGGACACTGTGGACAATCGTGGGGCGTGTATAATCGCATGTGGGTGATTTTTGTTCACAACATTGTGTATTGGAACTGGCATTCACCCTTTCTCTGTGAAAATCTCGTTGGACGAGTTTTGATATGCCCTTCTGGATTTTCATAAGACAGGTTGAATCTTATTCAACGTAAGGTGTTCGCATTCCCATAAGTGGACAAAAATCTAAGGCTGTCGATAATGTCGGTAAGCAGAATTTTTCATGCTGCGTGAGAACCATTAGCACTCGCCTGCCGCAACCGTCCGCGCGAACCAGCTGTTTAGCGGATTGTCATTCTACAGGCGGAACTTTAAATGTTAATAACTTTGCAACGAAGCCTCCATCAACAAATTAGTATTCTTGATTTTCGTCTTATTTTGGCCTCTACTATCGCTCATTAAAATTTTTGCTAGAGGTGGCCGAACACCCTGTATAGGCATAATGTATAAAAAATCTTTTAAATGTTTCATATAAATCTTAGGACGAATTAAATTTTATATAAAAAAAATTATATAAACTTTTTCTCTATCTTCTCTAGAAAAGAAAACATTAAATGAAATCTTATACATTACATGCTTACTTAAATCGCATTGAAAACGAATACCACAAATGTTTTAGAATAATGTGCAAAATGTGATTGCGATTTTCGCTAAGACAAATTGAAAACTCGTTTCTAACAAGGAAAATTTGAATGGTACCAGGTTTTGGGTTAGGTTATACTTTGAGATATTATTAAAGTTATTACAGGTACTTATTTTTAGAAATAGAACTATGTTCACCACTAATCAGCGTGGCGTGAGTGATGAGGTCTTTGCCTGCAAGCTCCGAACTTCTTCTGCTCTGCTGGTTCGAACCCTGCTTGAACTTTTTCTTTTTATTTTTTCAATCATACTTTAATCGTACACTAAATATGACATTATATTTTTGTCTGACCTTCGAATATTTTTTTTTAAAGTTAAATTTAACCGATTACATTTAACATATGTTATTTTCAATGTACGAAGTACATGAATCTGGATGGTACTTTTCACAAAAACAGTCAAAACATAAAAATTTCAAGCACCACGTACATTTACTGAAAGTTTTGTTTTCACAGAAATTACAAAATTTTGTATTTAACTCTGATGGAAAGGCCGCTTCATTTACATTGATAAAATGTGAACGATTTTCGGATAGTCGTACCTTGTAGCTCGTACTTTTTACCTTATACTTCAGGTAAAAAGGGATATAGCTGGGAAAAACAGTTTTATGACATTACCTGCTAACTTATGTTACTGTTCTACAATGAAACGCTATGTTTTGTACCTTTAAAAATATTCGACTATGTCCTTTTAAAATTTAAGATACAACCCATACTTTGTATTAAACTGGCAAACGGGATCACTTTTCCTTTGTTTCTAGTTAGTTCTATTTAGTTCGTCATAACCAATTGATACGGTTATTTCAAAACAATCGAGGAAAATCATTATTAATTAATTTCTGCAATTATTAATTCTACTGTTTTGTTTATGTTATAAAAGTAAGAACTCTTCTTATTGAAAAATACCACAGCGTGCACAATACTGGTAAAGAGTGGAATCTCATTTTAATTTATTAATTTTCAATCTCAAAGTATTTTGATTTTCAAAAATCGTATTAATAATATACATATGTGTGCTCATACATGGGAATAAAAAAAAATTTCTTTTTTTTCAATAATTAAAATATGATCAGGAGGTCTTAAAACGTGTATTTCCGTAAACTAAATTTTACAAAATTTTTTTTTCATTATGGGTACTTTGCTTATGTGCGCCTACATAGGTCGGAAAGTAAAAATGCCTGGGCAGTTGAGAATCTCGGCTCGAGAATCCAAATCGTATGCCGTTGACGGGAGGTCGGATTTCAGTTGTTTAGAGCGAGAAGGCAAATGTGAGCCTTTCTCTCTCGACTCCCACGAGGCGATCCGAAATTACTTCGGGCAGCTTCGGAGAATCGAGAAAGAGGGCATGCGTCAGTTTGCCTTTGTCGACTTTCCGAAACTCCACGAGCTCACGTACGCGTATCTGGCATGTGTGCGTGTGCACCCGGCGGTGCTTTTCTGGCATCTCTGGTCCATGAACGCGACACGTGTTCCATGTACCACAGACGAGGTATAGGAATAGACCTATCACCTAATGTAATTTTTCGGCCGGAGTTTCTGGGGTCCCGGGACCCCATTACCATTTTCGTGTCACTCGCAACGTTATCAACAGATTCAGAAATTAACATAAGAGGAAGTGAGACAGAAAATAGAATTACATAAATTTTATTATTTTTTAACGGAATTAAAGCTGTAGGGTCTATCATTGGACATTAATCGATTAATTTCATTGGAGTA